AATTCTATGTTTAACTTGTTGAGACACTGCCAAACTGTTTTCTGTAGTAGCTGTACCATTTTTCATTCCCACCAGCAATGTATGAAGGTACTAATTTCTCTCAATCTTCATCAACACTTGTTATCTTCCAATTTTTAAAATTTTGGCCATCCTAGTGAATAAGATATGTGTCAAATTTTGTTGAGTGCATTTTTTGTGTCAATTGATATGATCATATAATTTTCCTTTTTTAGTCTGTTGAGATGGTAGAGTACATTAATTGATTTTTCAAATCAATTGAGCCACCCACACCTACCTGGAATAAGCACCATTCATCACTGTGTATTATTTTTTTTGTACCTTATGGGACTCGATTAGCTAAAATTTTGTTGAGGGTTTTGCATCTAACTTCATGAGAGATATTAGTCTGTTGTGTGATTTTCTTGTTGAGCTAGTTTTAGTATCAGGGTAATACTAGCCTTATCAAATTAATTAGGCAATGTTTCCTTTTCTTCTAATTTCTGAAAGTGGTTGTATAAATTGATGTTCTTTGAATGTCTTGAAAAATTCCCCAGTAATGCCATCTGGGCCTGAGGAGTCCTTTTCTGACAGATTTTTTTGTTGTTGTTGTTAAAATTTAATTTCTTAAGTATTTGGAATATTCAGGTTATCTACATAGTCTTTGCTGAGTTTTGGTAGTTTGCAGCTTTCAAGGAATTTATCCATTTTTCTAAGTTGTCAAATGTATGAATGTGAAATTCTTCATAGAATTCTTTAATTAACCTTTAAGGACTCCACTCTTTTGTGATAACCCCTCATATCATTCATAATAGTACTGGTGATTTATGTCTTCTCTATTTTTATCTTTGTCATTCTTTCCAGAAGTTTATCTATTTCACTGATATTTTCATACAACCAGTGGTTTTTTGTTTTCAATTTTATTAATCAAAATTTTGATCTTGAATGATTTTTTTCTCTTCATTATATCCTTCTCCTTACTTTAGGTTTACGTTGCTCATACTTCTCTAGTTTCTTCAGGTACAAATTGAAAATATTGATTCGAGATCATTTCTCTTTTATTTTTCTTGGTTTTTTATTTCTCTTTTCTAATGTAAACATTTAATGCTATAATTTTTTTCTCTCTACAATGCTTTATCTGCATCTCACTATATTTTCTATGTTTGTATTTTAATATTCACTCTGTTCTATGTAATTTTTATTTTCTTTGAGACTTCCTCTTGAACCCATAGATAATTTAGTAATATATTGCTTAATTTCTCAGTGTTTGGAGATTTTATCATTATCTTTCTGTTACTGATTCCTAGTTTGATTCCAATCTGAACAGAGAACATACTCTAATTTCATTTCTTTTAAATGTGCAGAAGATTATGACCCAGGTTAAGGTCTATCTTGATGAATATTCCATGCACACTTGAAAATAATATATATTCTGTTATTGTTTGATGGAGTGTTTTATAAATGTCAATTAGACCCTGTTGGTTGATGGGAGTTGTTTTGTTCTATATCCTTGCTGATTTTCTGTTTGATTTGTTTTCTGTTGTTCTGTATCTTGTTCCTGTTCCTTTTTTCCTCCATTCCTGTGGGTAACTTGACCATATTTTTAGAGTTCCATTTATTTTTAATGTCTTTAAGTTTATCACTATGTAGAGCTGTCTTAGTGGCTGCTCTAGGTACTAACATATACATATGTAACTAATTACATACTACCGTCAACATTTCACCACTTCAAATGAAGTGTAGAAATTTGACTTCCATTTTGGTCTCCTTACTCTCCCCACTTTTTAGATATATTTTTAAAGTATTTCCTCCATATACATTCAGCAAAAAATCAGATGGGGTTATATCTTTGGCTTTAACCATAAAATATGTTTAATGAAACTCATGAGGTGAAAGATAGTCTATTATGTTCATTTTTATTTTTACCTGTTCTGCTTCTTTCTTTCCTTTCTGAAGATTCTAGCCTTCTTCTGTTATCATTTGCTTTTTGTTTGGATGGCTTCTTTAAACCACTAAAAGTAGGTCTGTTATAAACAAATTCTTTTAGTTTCTTATCATCTGAGGATATCTTTTTTTTTAAGATTTTATTGGGGAATTGGAACAGCGTTGGACAATCGGGGAAGGGGAACAGACAAGTTGCTGTCCTTTTGTTCTTCAGTCTGGGGAACCACATTGTTCTTCAAATCCTGAAGTCTCTAGCCATTCTCCTTCTCTACTTCTTTCTCGCAGCATTCAGAGTCCTTTTATTGTTATCTGATGGATAATTTTCATAGTATTTAGTTGCATTTATAAGAGAAGAGCAGGGAAAAGTGAGTCTATACAATCTAGTTCTAGAACTGGAACTATTCAATCTCTTTTATCCTGCAGGTGGAATACATCTATTGGATAATGTTCAATGTGAGATATAGCACCATCATAGAAGTTCATCAATAGTTTCTGCATAGATAGTAATTAACTTAGGGTACAATTAGCTGTGAACTAACCATAACTCCACCCCTCTCTCACTGATTCATAACCTACAGAAGATGACACTAAACTATAACTGACCTTATAGTGAAATGGTTGCAGGACAAGCTTTTGACCTCCAGAACCATTCAAGTCATGTTTTTAATAGATTTGCCTCATAATATTATTGTGAGGATGTAATAAGTAAGTAATGTGAAGTGTTTGTCACAGTTTCTGGTAAATAAAACTCAGTACATTATTAGTTATCATTACTTTTCATTTATTCATTTAGCAAGTATTTATTAAGAATTTATTTGTGCCAGGAACTAAATTTCCTAAAGTCCATATACAGTAGTCAGATGAAGACTTTAATTTATACCTAGGCCTCTCCTTTTATAGGGTCTTATTATGTTGCCTTTAATTAAGATTTTCCTGACTTATTCAGGTGCTCCCAACCAGAAATATTTAAGTCACATAGGTTTAATATTTTAAATTATAATTGTTTCAGTAATGAGCAATCATGCTGTATTTTTTTTTCCAGATATGAATGAAGCACAAGCAGAGCACATTCTGAACAGCTGTAAGTTCAAGAATATCACTGAGATGTTTATAAATCAAATAATAAAACTCAAAACACTTCTAAAGTTTCCCTATTCCCATGTTTACTATTTCCCAAAAGTATATAACATCTCTGGATGGCTACATGATTTAATTCTACTCAATTGAGAAAAATTGCTACTAATAATTGGGAACGTCATATGGACTCCTTGGGAATAACTTGCTCTTCCTTTCATTAAGTTTCACTGAGGACTTCTTTTAACAATCCCCTTTCAATTTATTTTATGTTTATTTGGCTCACTTTGTTAAAGTAGAAAATTTTGCTTAGAATTAACTTCATCATATGCACTTTGACATTTATATTATAGTAATGTAATGGTTGTAATATTACACAAGTATTTTAAAATACTACAAATGTAATTTCCCTGCAGTAATTAATGTACAGTTCCCACTCAAAATTGTCAAACAGCACTGGGATAAACTGCTGCACATAAAAACATAACCAAGAAAAATATGAAAAAAAAATTCAAGTAAAATTGCTTTACATACATCAGGAAGGGTGTTAAATATTTTGTTTATTAATCTATTTTTCAATGTGAATAATCATTATTTTATAATACATTGGATTGTCAGAAAAGTCATGACGTATTTTTTCTGTTTTTCATTGCAAAAAATGCCATGACTTTTCTGACAACCCAATAATTTTTATTTTTTTAAGGCCAGGCAAACCTATAAATGTTTTTATCTTTAACTATGAATATGTGCCAGACATCACTACCCACATTTATAACTCTGGAAATAACCCTCTTATTCCCTTATGACAGGTTGTGGTTTAGGAAGGGAGTCCCCATCCATGGAAAGAATTGCTGCTGGTTATGTTGCAAGGAAAGCTGATTGGCCATGGCAAGCCAGCCTGCAGATGGATGGCATCCATTTCTGTGGAGCATCTTTGATCAGTGAGGAGTGGCTCCTGACTGCCGCTCACTGCTTTGACATGTAAGTCCTCCATCTGTACCAAAAAGATCACCAATTTCACCTCTTTTTTTTTTCACCTTCACTTCCTATAATTTTTATCCCTTTTTCATTAGTCATCTTAGCCCTCCCCCACCCCCAATAGTACTGATGATTGTTTGGGAGGCTCAGAAGAAGCAACAATTACTAAAGAATAGTAGAAAAATTCAGAGAGTATCTTCATTTCCAACTGGATATACTCATATATTCTCCAGCAATCTCAACTTTAAGAACGAGCCAACATGGTCAAAATTTAAACACACTCACCAGTTTTCCTGAGCCATATTGTGGATTTTTCAAAAAATCCACTAACAGTATCCCAATGCACAAACTTACATCAGATTATCCCACATAAATATCTTTGGAGCTGTGTTTTTATTATTTGTATGCTTTTTGAAGACAACATATGGGACATTGGAGACAATAAAGAGATACAGTAACTCTAGTAAAATTCATATAAAATGGGAAAATATTTTGGATAAAATTTTAGTCTAAAAGAAAGGGTGAGAAAACAATACATAAAGTGTGGCTCCAATTTTACCACCTCTGTCTCTCTCCTTCCCTTCCTCCCTGCCTCTCTCCCTTTCTCTCTCCACAGTTATACGTGCATACATACATTTATATAACTGTGCATGGATATGTGTATATGGGTTCGTATATATGTGGGTACACATGTCTAATTTTTATTTATATTTTCTTCAACTAATCTGTATTACTTTTGTAAAATATTATTTTCTTTAAAAAATACAAACTCCCCCATGGAAGACAGTAATTTAAGCTACATCAGAATGGAGGGATTTGTCATCAGCTAAATGAAAGTAAAGCAGTCCTTGGGGAGAAGCCTCATATAAGAAGGTGGGAGGATCCTAATCAACCATCACCTCAAACAATATGCCCTTCTCCCACCCATATGTCCCATGTTCATCCAGAGTCCTGGGAAACTTTAGATCAGAAATGAACCAACCATAATCCTTTTAATCTGTGATCAGTTACAAAAACCCCAGACTCTGGATGGCTAGTTTTGGAACAACTCTAAGTCCGCCACTAATGAGAAGACAGGTGCAGTCAATTATCATTCACGAAAACTATGCTGCCCATAAGCATGACGATGACATCGCTGTGGTGAAACTCTCCACCCCCGTCCTATTTTCCGATGATGTGCACAGAGTCTGTCTCCCAGATGCTACTTTTGAAGTTTTGCCTAAGAGCAAAGTGTTTGTCACTGGATGGGGAGCATTAAAAGCAAATGGTGAGTATCTCAGTAAAAAGATCCATGCAAAAAAAGAATGAAAGCCTCCATTTGAGTGGAGATATGAACTAAGATACCAAATCAAAATATAGAAAATAAGAGATGAAGTCAATGTGTCCCATGAAAAATATGGTAAACCCTTCCCCCCAAAAAAAACCAGATATGGTGAATTATGGAAACTTTGGCTATTACTATCACTATTACTCAGTATCAGTGTTTATTGTGTTCTTTGTGGGCTATTTTAGAAACTAGGTATAACTTTCTTTTAAAAACTAATTCAAACATAATTTTTCACATGAGTTTTTTTCTTTCCATTGCTGTCTTTAATATGTAGAGAGTCTGCTATGGCTGCATGATTCTTAAAGTATGTGATTTGCAAGCAGTAGTGACAAGCGTTTATAATGTGTCATGCAATTAGACAGAAGTAGCCTTAAGAGAGCAATTTAAATGAAATTCCTAATGCTAAATAGTAAATGTGGCCCTCTGATCCGTGTATCTATGTAACAGCTTTGAACTTGAGACTTTATAAAGTTGACAAGTGTGACATTTTACTACACTTAAGAACACACAATAAACTGCAGATAAACCTTTAAACTCTGATATGAATCTCCAGTTTCTACGTCTCTTTGTACTTTTTACATATAGTTTAGTCTTCCCTTGACCTTCTGATTCTTATTCCAGGCTCTTAGTATGAAATTGTAGTCTTATTCATGTACTTCCTCAAAGTATAGCTTTTATTTACTGAGTCTTCATCAGTTGATTTTTATAGAAGCCTACTACCCTTAAATGTGCACTCCAAAATTCTGGCATTGGGTCCAGGTTTATACACTGTTGTTATAACTTGAGAGTTATTTTTCTCATCTCTGGGGGATCTGCCTTATTCTATAGGCATTGATGATTAATGTGATGGTAATTAAATCCTTTGGGATTAGACCTGCCACTTACTGACTGGAGTAGAAACAGACAGCATGTACTACTAGGGCAGCACCACTACACTTCCTCTAGAAACTAAATAAACTTAACACCACCCTCTTCCAGAGCAGTAGTTTGGGAGTGATTTGGAATTTCTTAATGAATTATTTTATACCCAATGCTGTGCAGATTACTGTTTATTGGTCTATCTAAAAAGTTGCATACTTTTCAGGAATAACATCATATATTTGTTAGACATCAGTCTAAAGTTAAGTATTAGATATATGATTATGTTTTTTTTTGTTTTGTTTTGTTGTGTTTTCCTACATTTTGAAACTAAAATGAGCACTACTCAGGTTTTCTTTTCCTACCTCCCAAGATTGGTCACATATCTAATTAGAAGTATTATTACTAGACAGCTTATAAAACAAAAAACTTTTTATTCTGGATAGTTTCTTCCTTGAATAGTTGGTAATGTGAAATAGCTTGTTATATTGTTAAGCACTTAAATTGACTTTTTGAAAGTTGAGATTAAAGAACTAAAAGCATTTGATATTTAAAGTGAAGCATTCTAGACTAATGAGCTAAAATAAAAATACACCCACAGAAATAAAAAATGGCTGGAATACAGTTGATTAAAGCCTAGAAATACCTATAAGTTTTAAATGCCAGTTAGAGACAGCAAATTGAATATTGTTGATGTATATACTCAAATAAATAGATTGTATAATAAGCAGACAGTGAAAGCATTCTCAGGGAGCATTTCAAGCAGATTCAGAAAAGAAATTCAGAAAAGAGAAAGTTGTCATGTAATGATCCTCCCATGCTTAAAAATGATGACTGAGGAGAAGAAATTCACTAGGCCCTAGAGAATCTTTAATTACTATAGAGGAGTTGGGCTTAGTTCTTCAACAAGATGGTCAATCCTAAGTAAATGAATTTATTAGTTTTAAAACAGAGAATTAGGGGCCGGCCAAGTGGCTCATTGGTTAAGAGCTGGCTTGGGATGCCAGAGGGCCCCAGTTTGGATCCCACATATGAGGGCCAGTGACACTGCCCTCTACAGCTAAGATGCTGAACAACAGCTCAACCTGGAGCTGGGCTGCCATGAGTCGCTGGTGACGGCGTAGGCTGCAGACCCTGCTGCAGTGGGTTGCCATGGGCTACTGCGTGTAGCCAGCAGCCAGCGTGAGCGTCCAGAAGCCAGCAACTGATCTGCCTCGCCCGGGAAGAGCGCAATGATGGTGCCAACTTGGGCCAGTGAAGCAACGTCCTCCACAACTAGACTGAAGAACAAAAGGACAGCAACTTGTCTGTTACCCTTCACCCAATTCCCCAGCGCTGTTCCAATTCCCCAATAAAAATCTTAAAAAAAAAAACCCCAGAGAATTAGATTTATTTATGGTAAATAACAAAATCCCTTAAAAACTAGATTTTCTTTTATGAAAGCTCTCGCAACCACTATCCATCATTAACATTGAATGGTAGCTTTTAGACCATGAGGGTTTTAAATACATATTTCTTCAATAGCTTCCATTGATGAAAATCTGAATATGGTACAAGGTACTATCATAACTGATTGTATTCATTATGTTTTAACCCTCACAATAAACATATGAGATAGGTATCATTTTCTTCTTTTTACAGGCGATGGTGCTTAGTAAAGTTAAGTAACTTGTCCAAGGTCAAATAGCTTATAAATTGCGCAAAGTGTATAAACTAGTATCTGCTGTCCCTCCAGAACCAGAGCCCTTAGCACAGAATTGTCCTGACTTGTTGATCAAATTAACAGCACTGCCCTCCTTCATCTTCTCAGTTGTCTTTGTACCTGTTACAAACACAACATCCATCTTTATATGAAGAACTAATACAGTCTTTAAAACAGAAGCTATTAAAGGGGAATGAGGAGAATATAATGGCTAAAACTGTACCATAAACAACTAAATAATATTTTTCACATTATAACAAATCAGTAAATGTGTGGATCATTAATGAAACATGATCTATTTCTTATCTTGGTATTTGTTACTTACCTTGTTATTAGTTGTGAATAGCAATTTGAGCTATTATCAAAGTAGACATGGTCTTTCTTATGAAGCAATAATATTTCACCTATTCAGTATTGAAGTTACTTCCTGATAGCACAAAGTTGCTCTAAACTGCTCCCCCTAAAGTATTCTCAATTCCCAATAAAACTGTGCCCTTTGTAGAATGATCAGGCAGATTTCCAGGTAGGGCAAATAGTCACAGCTTACCCCAGGTGGTGAAAAATGCCCTGGATTTAAATCTAATATTATCTCCTATTTAGCTACGTACTCACAGCAAGAAGCTTCAGTTTTCTCATCTGAAAAAGAAACTATCCTTACCTATATTTGGTAGTTGTTGTAAGGATTAAAGAAGATGGTGGGAGTAAATGTGCCAAGAATGATACCCAGCGCATAGAAGGCACCCCAAAAATGTAACTCGAATCTGAGTACTGTCATCAAACCCATAGTCCTACAACTTCCAGATATATGTTTTATCATTGATCTAGTCTTTGAAAGACACAATTAACTATCATAAGCAAGAATATGTAAGCTCTTCATTTATTTATTTTTTTCTTCCTTAGGTCCCTTTCCCAATACTCTGCGACAAGTTGAAATAGAGATCATAAGTAACAATATATGTAATCAAGTTAATGTATATGGTGGTGCTGTGTCATCAGGAATGATATGTGCTGGATTCTTGTCAGGAAAACTTGATGCCTGTGAGGTAAGAATAAGATTCAAATCCACAAAAATGAATCTGTTGAATAGAGGTAATCTTACTAACCGCAGACCAGTGTCATTTTGTGGGGCTCCATAAAACTAAGTTATGGAGGAGAGAGGAGAGTATAAAAAGAGGGAATGGAAATGTTCCACCTTTAACACCCTATTATTATCCAGATCCATATGTAAAAAATGATCACCACTTGCAAATTAGGACTCTGATTAGAGAAAAGGACTGGAAGTGCATAAGAGAAACTAAGTCAGGAAGCCACACAATCATTGCTTCAAGCCATAGTCATAACCGATAGTTTGGTATCTAATCCCTACTAATTGTAAGGCACTGTGGGATGGGATCTGCAGATTCCACAATGGCCAATAGAGCTTCATGCCACAGGTGCTTGAACTATTCACATTAAACAGTGTACATCCAGATAGAATTACACTATTTAGGAAAAAATTTTTCATCACTTAAGCATTTAAAGGGAATATCAGTTTTAAAGTTTGGCTATTTAAAGGACTAAAAATAAATAACTAAATAAATAAAGAGTTTACCTATAGCCTTTGAAACTGGGTCCAATAGTTTAACAATTCTTGAAGGATTAAGAATGCCTTTTAAATTTTTGACACATATGCGGTATGAATGCTTTTCTTATTCGCAAAGGTGCCACTATTGATCTGCCATTGGCTGTCTGTCATGTGATGGTAATAAATATTCATTCACTTATCATTCAAACTTTGAGTCCACAATCAACTTACAATATAATAATATAGCACATGAGTAATTAAAGGCAATGAACAAAAACCGCTAGGATTCGGCTACATTTTCTGGAATACAAGGTCTCCTTCCCTTCATTTTACTTTTTGAGAAACAGAAAGAACATGGGTGGTCCAAGATAAAATTGGATCACATGATTTTCAAGGAAGAACATGAATACATCCATATTTAGAATAGAAGCAAATCCACAGAAATGAACCTCTTAAACGAGAGTTGTATTTGAGTTTATTCTATAAGAGACTGGGTGTTCTCTTTCCATTGGTTCACGTTCCCTTGCTTCCTTCTCCACTAGCATACTGAGGACCTAAATTAGCATCTGGACCTACAGGAAAGGAACTAAGAGGATAGATTTTGGTTGACCAGGGTTTTCACACTCAGTCTACTGAGTACTGAGGTGTACTGTGAAGAATGTGAAGGAAGAGAGCTAAAAGCACAAGACTCTAGGACCCTGTGCCTGCTTCAAACAGGATCATTTTTCTTATTAAAAAAATAGTCTGTAAGGGGCTTCTACATAATACTTCTTTTTAATTTAAATTTATTGGGGTGACATTGGTTAGGAAAATTATATAGGTTTCAAGTGTACAAACCTATAATACATCATCTATATATTGCATTGTGTGTTCACCACCAAAGTCAGTTCTTCCATAACCATTTATTTGACCCCCTTACCCTTTTCTCCCATCCTCAATTTCCCCTTAGCCACTAAACTGTTGTCTGTGTCTACGAGATTTTGTTTGTCTTGTTCATTTGTTGCTTTCAATTTTATATTCCATATATGAGTGAAGTCATATGGTTCTCAACTTTTTCTGTCTGATTTATTTCACTTAGCGTGATAATCTCAAGATCTATCCATGCTGTCACAAATGGAGTTATTTCATCTTTTCTTATGGCTGAGTAATTTTCCATTCTATATGTGTACCACATCTTCTTTATCCAATCATCTCTCAAAGGGCACTTTGGCTATTTCCGTGTCTTGGTCACCGTGAATAGTGCTGCAATGAACATAGGTGTACACATATATTTACAAATAAATGTTTTTAGATTTTCGGGGTAGATACCCAGAAGAGGATTGGCTGGGTCATATGGTAGCTCTAATCTTAATTTTTTGAGGAACCTCTATACTATTTTCCATAGTGGCTGCACAAATTTACATTCCCACCAGCAGTGTATAAGGGTTCCTTTTTCTCCACAGCTTCTCCACACTTGTTATTACTTGTCTTGTAGATAATAGCCATTCTAACAGGTATGAGATCATATCTCATTTGGTTTTGATTTGCATTTTCTTAATAGCTAGTGAAGTTGAGCATCTTTTCATATATCTGTTGGTGGCTTGTATGTCTTCTTGGGAGAAATGTCTGTTCAGGTCCTCTGCCCATTTTTTAATAGAATTGCTTGCTTTTTTGTTGTTGAGTTGCATGAGTTCTTTATCTATTTTTGTATTAGCCCCTTATCAGAGGTGTAATTTGCAAATATCTTCTCCCATTTGGTGGGTCGCCTATTTGTTTTGCTGATGGTTTCTTTTGCAGTAGCTTTTAAGTTTGATATAGTAGTTCCATTCATTTCTTTTGCTTTTACTTCCCTTGCCTTTGATGTCAAATTCATAAAATCCTCTCTAAACCAGAGGTCCATAAGTTTAGTACCTAGGCTTTCTTCTATGCAATTTATTGTTTCAGGTCTTATGTTTAGGTCTTTGATCTATTTTGAGTTAATTTTGTTTATAGTGACAGACAGCAGTCTAGTTACATAATACTTCTTTTGAATGAATAGGTTCATTGCTAAAAGATCAAGTTACAAGCCAGTTGTCCAAACCTTGAGCTAAAGCTATCAAGGAAGTCCTCATGATTCACACACTTTAAATCAACTCGCTAGGGCTAGGGATTCCACCTTAGTTTGGGAGCAAAATACTTTGTGTGATAAATGATACATATTGACTTGGAGTGCCCTTTGAATATCTTCTTCATCTCAAGCCAGCTGCTGCAAAGTGATACAACATCCTTGCTATCAGGATACCTTCCTATCAACTTGTGTGAGTGGAACAAGATGAGATAAAAACTCAGAGCAAGAGATTATTTCTACCCAACAGTCAGAAGAGCCTTCATAGAGGAGGTGAAATTTAGTTGAGGCTTGAGTCACCATTTATGTAACAACTGGATGCCCAAATGTACATTCAGCTTGCACTCTCTGCTCATGTAGAGCAAAACTAAAAACTATACGAGGATAAAACTGAAACCTTAGTTTTATTCACACTATCTTTCAGGTGAAGACATTAACAGAAATAAGCAGAGATAATAAAATAATAACAAAGATAATAAATGATAAGCATGATTTTATTAATCCTAATAGTAAGTAAAAATAAAATTAGTTTTGCATACTTCAATTGAAATATTAATTTATTAGACATTCATATGCCAATTAGCTCTCATTCTTATACCCCTTTATTTATTACACTGACAATATTTTTTCTTTTTTCCAGGGTGATTCTGGGGGACCGCTGGTTATAGCACAAGATAGTAACATTTGGTATCTTATTGGAATAGTAAGCTGGGGAATGGACTGTGGAAAAGAAAACAAGCCTGGAATTTATACAAAAGTGACTCGTTATCGGGACTGGATTAAATCTAAAACTAACATCTAATGCAACAACTATCTCTACCTCCAAAATGTAAATGTCATATATGGTCTCCAGCAAACTGTGTCTAGTATATGTTGCCATGTATATTGTCATCAAGTTAGATGCAAATCAGTGTGACCTGACAACTCTATCTTTAAACATGAGCAAAATAGGCTTTTTTTAAAAAAAAGATTATCTGAAGTGTTTTTTGCTGACTATGAACATACAAGATACTGTCCACTCCACAATGATCTGCCATTGGTGCTAAGTGTCTCTAATAACCTCTTTACTCACCTTTCTGTCCCTACTACACATGTCTCATTTTAGAATAATTCAGAAGTTTAAACAGATAAGTACCAACTTGCAAAGCATTCTCTGCCTTTTTCCCTGATATGAGAATGCTGCCCTCCCCTGACTCCACAGTGTTGATCTTCCTCATCGAATAATCCTCATTAGGAAACTATAGGTCCATGCACTAGACAAATCAAGGCAATTAGCTTTGTCCAGTGGTAATACAATGATGGAGGGGTGCCAGACATGAAACCAGGACTTAAGAGATGGCACTACTGTGAGTCCATTCCCCTTTGCCCTCAGATGCACATTCAATCTTTCTTGGAAGCTTGAAGAAAGCTGCCGTTTACATTTCTACCCAGTAGTGCAGATTTTAAACACTTTAAACAACTACACCAATATTTATTTACTTTGGAACAGTGACTAAATGCTTGGATTAAACAGCAGAAGAACTGGAAATATTGCCTAGCATAGGATTTTGTTCTAAACTATGTAAAAATGCCTTCGGTATTCAGAAAATAAAAGCAAAGTTTCTTGGCCTTTTCACTAGATGGGAATGAGAAGAGGCAAGGACTGAATGAGAGGGAGCTACTTTCCATCTTTAAAAATGGGAGAAGTTCCAATTCTGGTATAAATTTACTTTTCACTTCTGTTTAATTATTTCCTAATGTAGTTTATTTTCTAAACAGTTTTATTTTCAATCAACTTCAGAATAATAAAGGACTGACAGAATGAGAAGCCAATATAAATTAGATAGTCATAAATAACTCAGATGAGAAGCCAATATAAAATTAGACATTCATAGACAATTTGATAAAAGATTTTGGGAAAGACCTTCTTGTATGATATTTAAATCTACTATTAAAAAGGTAGGCATTCTTTGAAGAATGGTATTTATAGAGAATATTCAAATAATTAAGAAAGCATTTTAGAATGGTTTAATTATTGTGATAAAAGTCATTTTCATATATATTTAAATGCATTTTTGTGGTACTGTACATGACTATGTGATATAACTAGTGTTCAAGAAAACTCAAACTTTTTCTGTGCACATAACTTTTTACTTGCTTGCCCATCTCCGTTTATGATTAATTTACCTAATGAAATAACTGCCATGTTAAGATCCTTTTGAGTTGTATATCAAGTAAGAGTCTCTCTTGCCCCAGATTATATATATTGTTTACATTAAAATATATTTATAATAATAAAGTCAAACTCATTCTCTGAGTCACTATACTGCCAAGTTTTTCAACCTTGGTACTACTGACATTTTGTCCCCGATAATCCTTTGAGAGGTGGGGGCCGTGGAGGAGTAGCAGCTAGCCTCTGTGTTCTAGAATATTTAGCAGCGTTCCCTCCCTCTACACACTGGATGCCAGTAGTAATCCCACCAAGTTGTAACAAACAAAAAATGAATCCATTGAAAAATGGGCAAAATCACCCTCATTGAGAACCACTGCCAGGGGATCAATAGTCAAAGGTAAAACGTCAGTGGTAAAAACCTTGCATCCACAATTTCTTCGCATGAATTTGGGAATATCTTTCTTCCCCTCTTTTTATAATGCTGCTACATTGCGAATCCTAAAAGACCATCACAGTCACACTCATCTCTAAACAGTCCTAGTCAAATTAAGATCATTTGGAAGCTGAATCTGTTTGGGGGAAGGAGATTGTTTAAAGGCTGAGCTGCTAATAATTCATCCCTCGGTAGACAGATAGATAGAGATTTATATATAGAAAGACGTATATAGAGATTTATAGAGACATATATCTAGTGAGAGAGATGTTTAATACCTAAATCCTACAAAATTGCACCATATATACTCTATTTAGTATCATTAGAATGCATAAATAGATACTTGAGAGTATTATGTATTTGGCCAATGTAGAATGGCTCAGTTCTTCATTCACTAATACTGCAGAGTGGAGAATAGAAAATTGCATAGCAACGCTATGCACTAAAAGCTGCACTCTCCAGTTTGGTAGCCAGTAACCAGATTGGGCTATTTAGATTTAAATTAATTTAAATTAACTACAATTAAATAGTCATTTCCTCAGTCATACTAATCACATTTGAAACACAAAATAGCCACATGTGGCCTGTGGTTACTACACTGGACAGCACAGATATACATCATTTCCATCATTACAGCAAGTTTTATTGGACACTACTGACATAGAGAACTCTGTGCAACTACTTACATAATCACTCATTCATCTAATAAACATCTCTGAGCCTCTAAGTGTCAGACATTGGGTATTCTAGTTACTGGGTATACAATTGTGTATAAAACCAAGTCCTATTATTATTATTATTATTATTATTATTATTATTATTATATTATTATTATTAATTTCAGGTGTACAAAACAATGTAATAGACATTTTACCCCTCACAAAGTGATAACCCCCTTCCCCAATCTATTGCCCCTCTGATATCGTATGTATCTATTACAATTCCATTGACTCTATTCTCTATGCTATACTCCATAGTCCTGTTTTCAATGCCACATAAAAAGGTAGTTTTTGATAACTGCTGTAGAAAGTAGCAGAGTCTTGGGGGAGTGTTGCTGGCTAGGCGCAGCACAATCACTTTTAGACTCTCCTTTGTCTTGAGGCGCTGGTCCTCTAGTGGAGAGGGGAGTCTTTGTATAAGCTATAGCATTCCTATCAGGTAGACTGAAGTTGTCAGAAATCAGTTTTTCAACCTTCTAAAGATCCCAGAACTTCCCCAATTAATGGTATATTAAAGAATCAAACAGAGTTTTTTGTTGCTCTTTAAATCAACAGGGGATTTCTTATAACTCAAAAAGATACATTAATGGCAACCAAAGAAAAGGTGATCAAGTAATGGGGAAGCATCAGAGTGATTTTATCACAAAATTTAAAGTATCAAATGTTTTAAGTAAGAATGAAATGAAATGAAATAAGGATTGGATTGTGCAATCTGTTAATGTCATTTTGCTTGCCAGAGGGGAGAGGGTTGAGGGGATGAACAAAAAAGGTGAAAGAGGCACAAACGTCCAGTTATAAAATAAGACACAGGGACATATTCTCCATACAACATAGAGAATATAGTCAATATTGTAATAACTTTGTACATTGACAGATGTTACTAGACTTATGGTAGAGATAATTTCATAAGGTATATAAATATTAACTATATTGTATACCTAAAACTAAAATATTATATGGCAACTGTACTTTAAAGGGACAAAAAAAAAAAAAAAAAAAACCCTGCAAGGAAGGGACTAAAAAATTTAGACCAAATGTGTTACTATGCTGCCATCTACTGGTCCATGTTATTTTTAAAACATTTTATTGTAATCTCATTTCAAGCTACAATGTTACACCAGCTGTTTTCCAACATACAATGATACAAATAAAAATCTGTCATTCTCTCCCCAGTTTCCTCCTAATATAACCAAAGTTCAAAGTTTTGTATATTCTTTTATAGTGTCTCTGTTTATATAAACATAAACAATCTATTCATTTATAAAGGATATACTCAGCTTATTTTCAAACATGGCATCATTTTATTTGCACACACAAACATATGTATAATGCATTTTATGTATATCTGGGCTCTCATTTTGGCCAAAATCGTCAACTAGCATAGTGTACTTACTCCTTCCAAGGCAACCAGATCAGATAAACTATAGAAGAAAGAGGTAAACATGGATTCTAGGCTAGGAAATTATAATAAAAGTGAGAGGCTAGGAGGCTGAGGTTACCCTGAACTAGGGTATGTAGGGAAGGTAGGTGACTAGGTGGCTAACACCCAGAGTGGAATGAGAGAACACTTGAAAGGCGCACTTTTTAAGGTTTACCCTTTCGTCCTCCAATACCCTGCCTTGCCCCTATGCTGCCTCGAGACAATATCTGCCTGCTTTTCATACCAGAAACTAGTTGCAGAAATCCAACCACCAATTCTGGAAGCATGAAGGCAGATGCCAACTAATAAGAGGAGTTTGAAAACTTATTTTAATTTTTATTGTTTTCCGTTACAGTTGACATGGGAGAAGAATTTCTATAGAAAAGGTGGCAACTAATCAGCTGCTTTGAGGTATTTTCTTCCTCGGCCTGGCTCCTCCAGAGCTCCAGGCTAGTGCTTGTCAACTATAATTATATATACCTATAGTCACGGGATGTGGAGTAGAGTGTGGGAATGGAGTCAATCGAATTGTAATAGATAAGTATGATATTGGGGGTGGGAGGGCAGTGGATGGGGAGAGGGAGGTTGTTACTTTGTCAGGGGTGAAAAGGATAAACATTGCATTGTTTTGTACACCTGAAACTAATAATAATAATTAAAAAAATTTTTTTTAAATGTAAGGAGACTGCTTCCTCCCAGTGCTACTTCACTCGAAGAGCCTAGCTCTGTAGCTACTCGTCCCACCACCCTTTCACCCACAGAGCAGAGCCACCACTGAACTACTCGGTTATACTCCAGCCCCTCTCACCAGCTCACTTCAAGTGGCTTTGGGAAGTGGCATGTCCTCTGGGCCTTCCCATGGAACATCGTCCCTGGTGGGTCTTCTGCCTTCACACGTATCTCTTCCAGCAGGTCCATTTCCCTCAGCCTCTATATGTCTTCCTCCACTGTCTGCTGGGGCAATTAATGCATTTCTGCTTCACTCAGCCTTGGCTATTGCTTTCTTGAGGCCTAGCAGCAAGCTTGCCCAATTTCCTGGGGTCCTTGCCAGGAAATGTCTCAAGAAAGTCAATTAATTTTACTTATCCAGTCTTCCATTCAGCCCTTCTTCATCAAACACCCTCAAAACCCAATGCTGGGAGCAGGAGCACTCCTCTGTCAGTACATGCTCACTAATTCTTACAGGATTTTCAGTGCAGAGTCTCCTTTCTCCCTTATCAAGCCCAGCACATTCCTAGCTGAGTGACTGGCCTGCAGCATCTTTTGACATGGGAGAAGGGCTGGCTCTTACCGAGGAGTAAGGAAATGATTCTGCAAATTCTGAGGGTTCAAAGGATCTACAGAACCAATATCCTCAAGGATATCCATCCACTTGTCTCCATCCTACATTTCAAGATGCTAGGTTTTCTCAACCAGGGCTCTGTCCTAAGCACAGCAGATCTGCTTTGAC